TCACAACGAACTAACACTTAAATGAATGTTGTAATCTACGTTTGAGACTAAATACTTATTCTAACATGTCGCAGTTGTGTATATGTGTTATATATAAATATATTAGGGTTATGAACCTATTGGGGTCATAAGCAGCCAATGACCCCATGTTGGCTCCACCACTGTCTCACTGCGTTGTGCATTCCACCCAAATGGCGCAACGGTATACTACCATGCATTAGAAACGAAAATGTTGATTCATAAAATTGTCAGGCCGCCTATTGTGTCGAATTCACGTAACTAGAAACTAAAATGTATGCAGCTATGCATATGTGTTCACCCCTGTAAACTATCTGTGCGTGTGCATGTGTCTAGTTTTATGAACCTGATGAGAATCTATCTCTAGGTGCTTGCATATGTGTTGGTTTATGAACCCTAGGAATATTATAAAAACAACATGAAAAGAGAGAGCAGAGAAGGAAAGACATGTGGTGGTGAGGACAAAGGGGCAGGGATTGTGTTTCGAATACTAAGTGAAACCTCCAGTACTCTATTTATGTTCTAATGCGATTGTTGCCGCTTCTTGTAACCAGTATAATCACAGCATAAGTGCAACACACAACAAAGCAAAACATTTAAAAACTGGAGTTTATATATATATGGATCCTCATTTCGCACTAGATAAGTGAGATAAACTGATATGCATGGAGTAACTAAGATACCGTGTAGCTGGATTCCACAACTTTCCTAGCCATGCCTGCCTCGTCGAGTGACCACAAGTGATAGGGAATTATTACTTGTACCTTAGGAATAAGAGATCCCTACACACTCGAAGTTTCTAGGGACAATACATGCAGATGAAACATGGGACAAGTAAGTTGGTTAGTGGTGTTCCTTGTTGATAGGTTTGCCATATCTTATTAGTAGCTTTACCTATAAAATTAGAAATGGAGTTTCTTAGCTTTGGCACGAAGGGTTGAGCGATGGGTACACTCGATCTATCTATGATTACGATGATGGCGAAGACATTGTTTCTTTCTCTTTTGGGCCACTTTTCACTAATCTAAGATTGAGTGAAGGGTGCAGTTGGTATAGGCCATCATTATTTTAGACTCTAACTAAGTATCTCACTTCACTTGTGGCCCAAAAATATAATACGGAAGAAGTCATGATATGTGACATCTAAACCATTTAATTTCCCAAAATGGTTGAAGTGTTAATAAACAAACATAGACCACACTTTATGTAATTGATGTTCTATTCAATAGATGATGTGAGAGTCCAAATCACCATTCATATAGTTATCGATGATTTGTTCTAATTTTTTTAAATGTTGTTTCTTATTAACAAAAAGTGAGATTCAAACTTAAAACGCATTACGAAATTAAATTGAGTCATACAATTAGACTGTCTTAGAGTTAGTTTATAAGCAGTTACCATCACAGATATGTTTTAGTACTAATATTACAAATGATAACACCTTATAAGGAAGAGAACACAATTTCTTGTGCTCAGATGACCATATAAGTATAGTGGACAATAAGAGTGAGATCATAAAAGAAAGAGGATGAAACCTTAATACGAAAAAATAATGTGTCTTGTATGTATGACCAGACAACTGTATAATATAATCGCAATCTAAGAACTAAGACCTGATCTTATAAAAATAGGGGTGTGATTCCACACACCCCCTTTTTACTTCTCTCACACATTTTTAATTTTCGACCGTCGGATTGGATGAATTGAAGAAGATCAAAGGACATAAATTAACTAGGGTGTGGGAGAAGTAAAAAGGGGTGTGTGGATAGCACACCCCTAAAATTAAACACATGCTTTGTGATGTATCCAAAGTTTTTAGAAAAAAGAGAAAGACAATTACTTAAATAACACTCTCACCAAAGTTAATACATAAACACATACTAAATTTTGTTTTGGATAATGCTAGAGAGACTAAATTTGTAGACTAAATTTTAGAAATTAAAGGACATGAAAGTTGTTGATTGGTTTATTATTTAAATGTTGATAAACGTGCTCATTCATATTAGTAACACATTATTTAGTTTATAAATTTAATCTTCTTAGCATTATGTTTTCGCTTTTAATGATTCTTCTAAAATAGAAGAAAAAATAAAAATTGTTTAAAGTGACACACACATGACCCTCGCATGGTTTATTCCAGTCACATGTCCCGGTGCAAGACTCATGTGTGACTCTGCAAGGGAGTAGGATTATCTCCCCTCTTTTTTTCTCTCCCCTTCCCTCCCCTCCTATTTGAACGGTCATGGTTAAGCCACGTTAACATCTTATATTAATTTTTTTATAGAAAGAGAAAGACAAAATAGAGAATGTGAGAGGAGAGGATGGAAGGGGATGGAAAGAGGAGGGGAGATAATCCTAGTCCCTTTGCAAGACTTTCTCTATGTGCCTAAGGATGGGCATGGTGCGGCTCGGTGCAGTTCCACCCATGGGCATGGTGCGGCTCGGTGCAGTTCCACCCCTAAACCAGAACTGGAACCTTAAAATATCAACGGTTTGGATCGGTGCAATTTCGCTTAAATTTATTACTAGAACCGTACGGTTCGATCGACATCGGTTCCGATTTGGTTCTTGCCGGTTTACGGTTTTGAATATTAAATTATTTGAACACCAAATTATCATGCATTCAAATACATCTTCTAAAACTGTTTATATAAAGTTGCATACAACACATATCCTTTTAATGAAAATGCCTTTGTCATTCACATACTTATTGAAATTGATCCACAAACTGATCCAATGAATTTGAAATCCACATAAGCAAAGCCGTATAAAACCTGAATACAAAACTTACAGCATATTCTAACAATAAAACAAAAGAATAAAACGGTTCGGCGACATGTATGTGAATAAGCCCTAATTGGAATGAGATCCATTGGTTTGCAACTTGGTGAAACTAATTTTTCAACCTATTATACCATGACATGTGTGTGTATATATATATTATTTATTTATTTATTATTAATAAAACGGTTCGGTTTGGTTCCGGTCGGTTCCTGTTCATTCGAAACGGGAACCGAAACTAGTTTGAATGGTCCGGTTCGGTTTTTGACTCAAAGTTGACTGTTTTGGTCAACACGGTTCTTTTTTGTTTTTTTTTTCATACGGTTCGATGCGGTTTTACGGTTTGATGGTTTTTATGCCCACCCATATGTGTGCCCTCATCCAAACCAATTCCAACATCCCATTTACCCCACACTACCGCTGGCGCGTAACCGTCATCCACCTCAGCGCGTAGATCACAATCTCTGCAATCGTTTCTCAAGCGTTAACACCGCATCTCTGCAACCACACCAATCCCTCCGTATACCCTATCATCGAAACTGTCAATCAAAATGACTCCCACATAACTAACCATATCAACCGCTTACATAAACTCATGTCCCTATCATGAATGCAGAGGTCGCAGACTTCTGGCTCCCAATGTTACAAGCCCGCTTTTCAAAATTTAAATTCTCACTCAAACCAAACGGCGCCGTCAAACTCGTCCGTCATCTCATCCCGCTATAAAACCCCAGACCTTAGTCCCTAACTCTCTCAAACCCTTCGTCTTCTTCCCTGACCATTTCTCCTTCCGAGAACCTTCTTCTCCTTCCTTACTCCCTCTGTCTCTACAGTAACTCTCTCTCCTCCACTGCTACGTATAAGTGGTTAAAAAAACCATGAAAGTTCTCTAATAAAAAATTATGTTAAAATTTTATTGAATGAAAAAGACTTAAATTTTAATTAAAAACTCTTAAATTTAAAAAAAAGGACAAAAAAACTTTAATTTTAATGAAAATACATAATTTTAATATTAAAAAAAAACTGATGCGCGGACCCACGTGCTGCTCACACAAACTGTTAATGAAACTTACTATACTATTTATGAAATTTAATGGTACTACACTGTTTATGAAACTTAACGGTACAACATTGTTTATGAAACTTAACGATATTACACTGTTTATGAAACCTAACGATAGATGCTTGTCCCAGATTTTCAAGTTCTTTCACCAGAGAGCAATAAAAAGATTAAAAACAAAAAAAAACAAAAGCATGATAGAGATCAACGTCCACACCATTAAAGTCATGCATGGCTAATAGCTCAATACCATTACTAGAAAAATAGGTGATGAGTCCAACGATGTTGCCCCACCCCTACCCTCAACCATCCCAAAGCACATCTGACCGACTCCTTCCCAACCATACTGCTCCATATGTGGTTCTGAATCGAATGGACCCACTTCAATTTGAAATTTTAATTTTAGAGGAATAAAATATGCTTGGATTATGTTCAAGGGTTATGCAACTGAATGATTGGTTGGGTGCTCTTTGCACGCGCATTTAGTTAGATATTTTTGTTTTTTGTTTTTCTCTTGTCCTTATTATAAAATAAAGTTATATAATGGTTTTTGGTTAAAACTTAAAGTTTTGAAGCTCTTTTAATTAGTTTTTCTCTAAAAGAATTGCTTATGACATCTTCTTTGGATGATTTTTATCCACACACATATTTGTAAAGAAGGTAGCTGGGGTACTAATTTGTTAGCTTCGTTTGTATATGCGATATGTGCTTATTGGTGGTCTATGAGTTTATTATTTGAGGCGTCTGCTCATTGTCAAGATTTGTCTTTTTGTCCTACTTATTGTTTTCACTGATTTATTTTGTTGCGTGGGTTTTGGCTTAGTCCACTTAGTATCTTTTCTTCTCTTATTATGAATAAAGTTTGGTAGAGAGGGGACATACATGGGGTTGCTGGATGGAATGGTCCCTCCATTCAGAGCTTCGGAGAAAAGTCAACGCCTTGAACACAACTATTTGACTGGTTGAAATGAAACAGCTTAAGTATCTTGGAACAACTTGTTCCATGACTAACAGATTCCACAGATAATGGGATATCCCTACAGACTAGGCAACAAATAACGAAGTCCCATAAGAAAAGGACAACAGTACTTATTCAGCAACATAAATAACGGCAACCCTTAACAATGCTTAACAATTAAAAAGACTATCAGATAAAGAAGGAAGAAAACAAGGATTAGGAATATCCCTAAAACTTCAAAGCTTTCATCTCCATCTACAAATACATGCATTTTGTCGTTCAATAGAGATTTAGCTTGACAACCCTAGAAGAGACCCCTCAATCTCAGATATCTCTTGCCCCTAATTTCGGTAAAAAAACTATGTCGGCTTCAGAGCTTGCTTGCAGTTACGCCATTCTAATCCTCCATGACGAAGGCATCCCCGTCACTTCTGAGAAGATTGTAACATTGGCAAAAGCTGCCAATATCCCTGTTGAGTCTTACTGGCCTGGCTTGTTCGCCAAGCTTGCTGAGAAGAGAGACATTGACGATCTTATCCTCAATGTTGGCGTTGGTGGCGGCGCTGCAGTAGCCGCTGCTGCCCCAGCTGTCGGTGCAGCTGCTGCCCCAGCTGCTGCTGCTGCTCCTCCACCAGAGGAGAAGAAGGAAGAAGCCAAGGAAGAAAGTGATGACGAGGGACTTTTCAATTTGTTCGATTAGGAGCTCCATTCAAACATGACATATACATAGTCCATTTTAATTTGCTGGTTTTTTTTATTTAAATTTGCTGGTTTTTAGTACTTTGAGATTAGGTACCTTATCAATATTGTAGAAGGGCTTTGTTTATTTATTTTTGGCTTTGATTTGTAGACTCTGGGTTTAATGTTGAGCATCTAATTTTGAAGATCTTTTGTTTAGAGAAAGACTTGAATGAGTTCAAGTTGGAAAATCAATAATAATATTGAACTTAGAATTTAATATTAATATTAATATTATTTTATTACGTGAATGGAAATTAATTAGAGGGAATCATTTTTCTTCCAAACGGTATTAAATCGGGTACTTATAATCTCTTTGAATGAAAGGGTTGCATCTATTCTGCCTTCTCATAAAAAGGCATATTGGTTCATGCAAAGGCATGACAATGCCTATATAAAGGATATTAAGTCAGCTGTTCAAGGATGAATTCTAACCGTGGAATTTTAGTTCAATAGTTAAAGACAGAGTGCGTTCTCATACTTAGTAATTAAAGTATGTATTGAGAGAGTTCAAACACTATCTGGTTCGCCGTATTTAGAGGATTGGAGTGCTTCTTTTGTAAAGTGATAGGTCACTGTATCTTAAGACACATTTGCCAATGCAAACTTTAAAGCACTAGTGAGAAGCAATCTTTGTCTTAAGGACATGGTATCAAATATTAGACTCGATCTCAAATTTCAAGTTTTTCTAGTCCACACTCATTAGTAATGTGTTTGCTAAAGGATTTGCAATTGACCATTTGGTATTTAATTGCATAAAATATTTCTTGTATTTTTTATGTGATAATTAAATATAGCAATCAGACATAGTTTTTTCAATATTCACTTCCACATGTGGCATCCTGATCCAATTATACATCGGGCAGATGGTTCCATCGAACGACATAAAGCTTGTCTAGTCACCAAGGGTTTTAATTAGACCGAAGGCATTGACTATTATGACACTTTTTCTCCCACTACTAAGATGATCTTCGTTCCTTGCCTTCTTGCTATTGCTGCCAGTTAAAAGTGGTCTCTTCAACAACTTGATGTCAACAATGTTTTTTCCATGGCAACTTAGATGGAGAAATATAAATGTCCCTTCCTCTTAGTATTCGGAGATAGGAGGATAATCTTGTGGTTAGCCTCAACAAGTCACTTTACGGCTTAAAACAAGCTTCAAGGCAATGGCTCGGCAAATTCACCGAAGCCATTATTGCCATTGGCTTCACCCAATTTAAGGCCAATTATTCACTTTTCACCTGTAGTTCCGGAAAGTCTTACACAGCCTTATTGATATATGTTGACAATATTGTAAATACAAGCAACGATGTTGGTGCAATAAACTCTCTCAAAGACTTCCTTCATACTCATTTTCGCACTAAAGATTTGAGAAATTTAAAATATTTCATGGGGATTGAAGTTTCTCGTTCCAAAGGGGGCATCTATATTTCACAACGCAAATATGCACTTGAAATACTGAGAGATCAAGGTTTTTTTGGGAGCTAGACCAGTGGAGTTCCCAATGGAAGATGTCAAACTTTCAGATAAAGGCGAATTGCTCAAGGATCTTGCCCAATATTAGCGTTTGGTGGGCCGGCTAGTTTATCTCACTATCACTCGTCCAGACATCACTTATTCCTTACATGTTCTTAGCCGTTTTATGCATGAACCACAACAACCTCACATGGATGCGGCTCTCCGGGTTGTCTGATACCTCAAATCTACTCCTAGGCAAGGATTTTTTTTTGGGTCTGATAATAAATTAAATTTGGTTACTTATTGTGATTCAGATTGGCCTAGTTGCCCCCATGACTCGTCATTCAACCACAGGGCATTGTGCTTTTTTGTGTAATTCTCTCATCTCTTGGTGCACAAAGAGACAGAAGACCGTTTCTTTATACTTTGCCGAGCCGAGTATAGGGTGATGGAAGGTACTTGTTATGACGTCACTTGGCTGAGATTTTTATTGGAAGATTTATGATTGTCTCATTTAGAAGCTTCACTTTTATTTTGTGATAATCAAAAGACTTTATATATAGTAGCGAATCCAGCTTTTTATGAGAAGACACAACATATTGAGATGGATTGCCACTTTATTTGAGACAAGATAATTGATGACACAACCACTATACTCGACATATAGCATCTTCGCAATAGCTAGCAGAAATTTTTACAAAGACGTTGGGCAAGGAGAAGTTCTCCATTATGACACGCAAGTTGGGAATTCTTGACCTCCACTCTCCAACTTGAGGCGGAGTGTTAGAAAATCAATGTTCTTAGTTAGGAAGTTTTAATGTGATTGATTGTAGGAAAAATTAGTATCCGGTCTCCAGTTACTAATGTTCATTGACTAAAACCTTATTAGTTTTCAGATTTTGATCCAAGTCTCTAGCATTAATATAATAATGAATTTACATATCAGTTACATAATTTTTTTTAATAAAAATTAATAATTTATTTATAATTTTAATACTCACACCTTTATTAAACTCCTAACTAATTTTCAATTCAAAACATTTTCAAAATAAAAAAAAAATAGAATAAGTTTGTACCCATTAACTTTTTTAAAAAATGTTTTCAATTTTTTAATCTTATATGTACCCATTCATGTAATTTTTTCAAATTTTTAATCTTAAAATGTATCATTCTTAAATATACCAATTTGTTATATTTAAAATGTACCCTTTTTTTATATAAAATCTATTCAATTTTTAAACTTCTCTTGGTACATTCTTTTTTCTTTGATTTGAGAATGTATCCATGTCAAGTTTAATCGAATAAATTTACTAATGTTATTAACCTAATATCTTCTTCTTTTTTTTTTCTTTTTTTTTGTGATTTTGAAGAATGTACCCATGTTTTGGTACAATAATTTTTTGGTTAATTTTGATGAATGTACCCATGTATATATGTACACACACAGACACACAATAGTATAATTTATTTTAATATTTTTAATCCCACAAATTATGGTTTTTTATTTAAAATCTCATTAATATAAACAACTATAAATTTTAATTTTTAATTTAAAAAAATATGGTAACATACATAGAAATAAATTATCACATTAATTTCAGGAACTTCGATCAAAAATTGAAAACCAACAATGTTTTAGTCAAAGAATATTCATAGCTAGGAACCACATCCAAAGTTTTCCTTGATTGTATTTGATTTTGTATTTACGATTGCAATCCTTAGATTGCAGAATTACCTATTGTACAAGGAAACATGTTGTATATATTCCTAATCCTAACAATCATGAGGCGTAGTTCCACCACCTTCTTCGCTCCACCTCCTGCTTTCATGGACTCCACAAACTCTCTTGGAGCTAACACTCAGGTTACACAAGTATCCAAGCCACAAAAATAGAACACCTCCTACTTGCTAATTAACAGTAGGAGTAGCGGTTCACCTGTGACTCCCACATGGTAAATAAATTGAGATGAAACTCTTAGAAAATTGTACAGTAATAAAAACAAACTTATCCATATAAAATACTTGTTAGCTACTCCAATTTGTCTTTAGATAAGAATGAAATTGTAGAACAAAGAAAAAATTCTTCTGCTTTCTCCTTCACTAATGAAAATCTAACATTCTTGAGTAAGTGTTGCACCTTCGTACGGTGTACGCAATATTATCTCAGCCTTCCACTCTCGAACGAAACTTGTGCTTCCAGAACTCTTGATCATCATTAACAAGATTTCTCAGCTTCTTACAAACACCTGGCACTTTTAAAATGTCAACACCAGAAAGTGACTCGAAAATCTTCCTTTTTATCTCCGGCAGAAGGTCCATAAACACCGTTGGAGCCGGCAAACCCGCCATCGGGCAAAGCTCAATCAGAAAAGGCAGTACAATCTCATCCATGGAAATCTTCCACAATTCCAAAATTTCTTTTTCAGGGGACTGGTACTGATGCAAATCCCTATCTCCAAGATCCACATCCCTATTAGCCCAAAGAAATTCAATCGCGGGGCAAAACCTTTGCTCATCCAAACATAGGTGATGGATAGGTGAGTAAAGCCCTAATCGGTAACCGGACAAAGACGGATAGACATTGACAAAATTACCCCTACTCTGAATCATCAACTGAATTCCTCCTCCTCCTTCAATCACGTTATAATTTCCAGTAATGGTCCAACCTTTAGACTTTTCAATATTGGTCCAGTTTTGCAAAATCTGAGGGAGAGTGTAGTACACCCACATCGTCTGACTTTGATCCAGTGTTGACCATTTATCCAACAGATGAGGACGATCCTGATCATCGGTTTGCTTGCCTGAAATCGGATCGATTGGGACGAAACCAGACTCTAAGAGCACGGCATGGACTGCGATCACCAACCGCTCGTGATTACTTCGCTCATCTGCCAACTCCTCCGTCAGCGCCCTCCTCAAGAACATGATCTTCTTTGCCACCGACCCACCACCAATTTCTTCCATATTTTTATGTAGTAAAAAAGAATAAAACCACTAGGGTTCGACTTTGACCTAGTAAAGAACACTAGATTCAAACCGTGCACCAAAACGATCTCGATGTTCTGAAGCAATTAAACCAGCCGTACTAGATCCCTTGTGTTTTGTTGTTGGAAATACTATATATCCTTCTTTAACTAGGGTTTTTTGTTTTTGTTTTGTTTTGTTTTGTTTTATTTTGGTGAGGAGGTGAACGATCCAAAACACCACTTTTCCCCGAAAACTGGTGAGAAGGCCTTTGTTAACTACGATTTTTTATTTTTTATTTTTGGTTAACTTGTATTCTGTATGTATGAAGGGAGAAGACAAATTTGGTGAAACATTTATAATCTCAAAATTGCCCTCTCTCATTAAATTTTCAAATAAAATAGAAATTCACAAAAAAAAATAAATAAAAAAAAACTAACTTTATTTAAAAAAAATTATATATATATTACTTTGTTTTTCTGTTTTTTGCTTTTTCAAATAAAAAATCAAAAGAGTCAATTGTCACACGTGTGCCAAGAGGCTAATTTCCCTCTTTGTTTTTCTGTTTTTTGCTTTTTCAAATAAAAAATCAAAAGAGTCAATTGCCACACGTGTGTGCCAAGAGGCTAATTTCCCTTTAAGTTAATTATAATACACTTATAAGTGGGAATGCTTGCGAGATCTCAGGTTCGAATGGTCAGTTTGAAGACCTAATGATTATGATTGGGTTATTGTGTAGTCTAACTCAAATCCGCCCACCCGTTGAAGGAAATTACAATATAAAGCCCTCATGTTTGGATCACTTTTAGAAACAGACACAACATTAATTTTTCAGTATACCTGAAGTACTAAAACTTTAACAGTTCAAGTCATCGTTGCGTTGGACAAAAATAGGACCAATCCTAATGATCATGATTGAACTTGAGCCAAGATTAAGAATCTTCGTATTGGTCTTGGCTCTTGGATCTACTTCTTTGCAGTCCCCATTTGCAGTACCCCATTTGGGAGATTAGTTAAATTGACTGGTGTTACAATTTTCGGAATTTTTAACGAAAATGGCTTCACACAAAGTTTTTTTATTCAAAAGCATTAATGAACTTTTATTAATAATAAGGATAAAAACTAGAGCGGTGGCAGTATTGTCAATATATTTTGAATTTGGGAAGTGTTGGCAATATCATAGTTAAGTTGAAACTCACTGACAGTATCATAAATAAGTAGAAATTTGGTGGCACTGACTAGTATTTTTTCATAAAATAAGGTAATTATTTATTGTGAACCTTCGCATCCAAGACAGAAGGGACATGTTATTCACATAACCGCTAGGCTCCAAAGTAACATTGAGTAGTTTTTTTTTTTTTTGTTATTTATATTACTATTTCGTATTGTTTTATTGTGATGCACGAGTTTTTAATTTAGTAGTGCTTCTCTTTCCAATGCTAAAAGTAAATATAAGATGTCCTCATTTCGAATTTCCGCTTGTTCAAACTAGCAGCAATGCACATGCTGCATGCGGGAACGGAGCCAGGGAGACCAAAGTAGAGGCAAGAGAGCGCGTTGGTAAATGCAGAGCAGCATGAAGGGAGATCAGCATTGAAAGGCCAACTGATAATATTCTATGAAATCCAAGCACCAAACTGAGAAACAAAGATTCATAGAATTGCTTTTAACATAACTGCCTTCCATGGTAATAAATGAAATAAATCTTAACCATAACATCCCGTGAAAAGCTTTTAGCTCAAGCTCAATCTCTCCACTCTTCACCACTACTAAGGATCCTCGTGATGCAGAGCTCTTAAATTTCACGAGTTTTGTATTTCAACTCAGAGCTCTCTTCTTTATTTTTTTTGAATCCTCCCCCAAACTCCTTCAAATACCCCATCAATTCTTCCTCAAAATCATGCACTTTCAGCAGCCTAACCTCCGTTGTGATCTTAACCTTCAACCATGGAACTCGAAGCATTCAAAACCCGTCTTTTTGTTTCCATTCTCTTCGTTTGCTTGGTTTCGATTCGTGCAAACACTCTCCAAACTTACATTGTTCAGCTCAACCCTCAAGGTGTGACCAGCTCCTCTTTTGCTTCTAAGCCGAGGTGGCATCTCTCATTTCTTGAACAAACAATGTCTTCCGAAGAAGACGCTTCTTTGCGGCTTCTCTACTCTTACCATTCTGCCATGGAAGGATTCGCTGCTCAGCTATCTGAGTTGGAGCTTGAGTCCTTGAAATTGCTGCCGGATGTCATTGCAATTAGGCCTGACCATCGGCTCCAAATCCACACCACTTATTCTTACAAATTCTTGGGACTTGGCGCTTCAAGTGAAGGTGCTTGGTACAAATCTGCGTTTGGCAGAGGCACGATCATTGGGGTGCTTGATACTGGAGTTTGGCCTGAGAGTCCAAGCTTCGATGATCGTGGAATGCCAGCAGTTCCCAAGAAATGGAGAGGAATTTGTCAAGAAGGGCAGAACTTCAATACTTCAAATTGCAACCGAAAACTCATTGGCGCCAGGTTCTTCACTGAAGGCCATCGCGTAGCTTCATACACACCAGATGGAGGTCGTGAGTATGTGTCACCACGTGATTCTCACGGGCATGGAACTCACACATCATCAACAGCAGGGGGCGCTACTGTCCCAATGGCAAGTGTTTTCGGCAATGCAGATGGTGTGGCTCGCGGAATGGCCCCGGGAGCGCATATAGCGGTGTACAAAGTCTGCTGGCTCAACGGATGTTATAGCTCTGATATCCTAGCTGCAATGGATGTTGCAATTAAAGATGGAGTAGACATTCTCTCCCTCTCTTTAGGTGGGTTCCCCATTCCACTTTACGACGACAGCATTGCAATTGGAAGTTTTCGAGCAGTGGAGCATGGAATTTCAGTTGTGTGTGCAGCAGGCAACAATGGTCCAATCCAAAGTTCAGTTGCCAATGAAGCTCCTTGGATCACTACCGTTGGTGCAAGCACAATAGACCGAACATTTCCAGCCATAGTTCAAATGGGGAACGGAAAGTACCTCTATGGAGAATCTTTGTACCAGGGAAACCATCTTAAGAGAGCAGGGAAAGAGCTTGAACTGGTTTATGTGACAAGTGAGAATAGTGGAAGTGAATATTGCTTCAAAGGGTCACTTCCACGAGCAAAAGTCCGTGGAAAAATTGTGGTTTGTGACCGAGGTGTCAATGGAAGGGCGGAGAAAGGCGAAGTGGTGAAGAAAGCTGGGGGTGCTGCAATGATTTTGGCAAACACAGCGATAAACCTAGAGGAAAACTCCGCCGATGTCCATGTCTTGCCTGCAACTCTCATTGGCTTCAAAGAATCAGTTCACTTGATGGCTTACATAAACTCTACTAGGAGACCGACAGCTAGAATTGTATTCGGAGGTACAGTTATAGGAAAATCCAGAGCACCAGCAGTAGCTCAATTCTCCGCTAGAGGACCGAGCTATTCAAACCCTACAATCCTCAAACCGGATGTGATTGCTCCCGGGGTCAACATCATTGCTGCTTGGCCTCAAAACTTAGGCCCCACCGGCCTTCCAGAAGATTCTAGAAGAGTGAATTTTACTATCATGTCGGGGACATCAATGGCCTGTCCTCATGCCAGTGGAATTGCTGCTCTTATACGCTCAGCTCATCCCAAATGGAGCCCTGCAGCCATTAAATCTGCCGTTATGACAACTGCTGAGGTAACTGACCATTCAGGAAAACCGATACTGGATGGAGACAAACCAGCTGGAGTTTTTGCAATTGGTGCTGGACATATCAACCCCGAAAGAGCCATTGATCCCGGGTTGATTTATGACATCAGGCCGCAGGATTATGTCACGCATTTATGCACTCTTGGATACACAAAATCAGAAATTCTTACTATCACTCACCAGAACGTTAGCTGCCGTGAACTTTTGAAGATGAACAGGGGTTTCAGCCTCAATTACCCCTCCATTTCAGTAATTTTCAAACATGGTACGAGAAGCAAAATGATCAGAAGGCGAGTAACAAACGTCGGGAGTCCTAATTCCATTTACAAGCTGGAAGTACTGGCACCGAAGGAAGTAAAAGTGAGAGTTAAACCTCAAATGCTAAGGTTCACAGACATCAATCAGAGTTTGAGTTACAGGGTATGGTTTATATCAAGGAAGAGAACAGAAAAAGGGAGGATGAGCTTTGCACAAGGGCAGCTGACATGGGTGAATTCTAACAATGGCTTGAACCGGGTTAAAAGCCCCTTCTCGGTGACTTGGAAGTAAAAGGGCTCATAACACTCATGACACGAGAGTGATCGTGGTAGTTCTACTCTAGAAATCAAAAATCCATTGCTATTGACTCATTGGATTCACATTTATGACGATTCAAGGGTGAATACCTTATCCTAGCTTTTCGGGGGAGAAAATTTGAGATGTAAACTGTGTTTTTATCATCTGATAAAAGGCAGATGCTTTTATTGTATTAACTACTAGTCTTTTATGCTGTTGGAAATCTTTCGACTTATAACTCGTTCTACTTAAAATGTTTCTGCAGTGATAAAGATTCATGTTACCGTCCTACTGAAATGAATTTACATATAAATCTCAGTATCTTGTATAAGAAACCCCTTCTTAAATCATCTATGTCTAAACTTAACAGAACATGTAACAAAATTCTCAATGCAATATGAAATACTAGGCAGATATAGAAAGAAACTTACACGGTGTCAACGCCTTAACAAATCTGCATTCTGCAACGACAAGATAAATGGTTGAACACATAGGCTGGATCGTTTAATCTGTTACCTTCATCGTATCATTCTTCAAATTACAACAGAGTAATTAAAAGAAAGAAGGCTTTGAAATTTGAGCTTTCTCACCTCTATAACTCAAAATACAGAGTACTGGCATAATTCTCAGTTAAGAGCAGAAAAATTGGTTGAATACCAGACACGTGTGGACTAATAAGATTTTCGAGTAAGACAACAGATAAGGATATACATTGCCTCATTTTTTTATGAAACTCAAGCCATTGTCATTTGCATAGCGTTCCATGAATCTCATGAATCTGTCCCAATCTCTCGGAGTTCGCATTATGTACTTTGCTTCAATTCCTGCAGGCTTTCCGTTGACAAATTTGGCGTTAACATCAACCGATGAAAGGACGCCTTCTTCGTCAATCATGTAAAAGCCAGTGATGTCACCAAACTCACCAGAGGAGTCAAACACAGAAGGCTGCTCAAACTTGAAAATTGCCACACCATTTGTACCATCTTTTGATTTGGTTAGCCTCACATCTGGTATTGTCTGTTCATCGGTCCCTTGGATGAACTGAATTTTTGGTTTGACCATCATTTTAATAGACCTGGATGCTTGAGTACACCGTCTTAATGGCGCCCATTGGGGACGAGACACGCGCAAAGATTTGCCATTGAATGTGGATTCTGCACTTCTACGAACACCCCAACATAACAAGCCTACACAATCAGAACACAAAACATCTTATGCTATGTTCATAATCCATCTCTTGCTCTTATCACTAATTCTCAATAAGTACATAATTATAGGAAATAGAAAACATAGAAATTATAATTATAAAAACCCAATTAACAATTTGAGTGTTTCAATTGATCATGAAGAATTGAAAACCCAATAAACCCTTTGTGCTAATTCCTCAAAACAATCTCATCAACTTGAAAACTGCTAAAACTGACACAAAGTTTGAAACTTTAACAAAACCCATCAAACAATTTCACCCCATTTGTCCCTTCACCTATAATTTTTCCAAGAACACCACACAGACCTTAATCTACGGAGTTAAATTATGACAACAAAAGAAATCAAAGCATTAACCACAGTAAAATTTCTGCTTGGTATTAAATTATGACAACAAAAGAAATCAAAGCATTAAACACAGTAAAGTTTACTGCTTGGTAGTGGAATTACAGCACATGCAGTAAAAAACCAAAAAGATTACCCGAATGAAGGCGTGTTTGCTGCAGACATTGTGAGAGTGGAGAAGAGAACGCAAGTGACTGCAGGGTTGCCATTGCAGAACTAGACGGTGGAGAGAGAGAGAGAGAGAGAGAGTATGTGTGTGTATGTTAAAGAGGAGAGAGGAGTTGTGGTTTGGGGATAGAGTGGTGTGTAACAAGGACAGCCATTCACTCTCAGTACATTCTTGGCTTTTCAAAGGATTGGTGGATATACTGGAGAGAGAAAGAGGTTGGCACTTTTCAATTCGGATTTTCGTCAGATCTTTTTTGTGAAAATTTTAATAATTTGTAAATCATATTCGTTCATTGTATATTATACGGTTAAAAATTATTTTAAATATTTTTATTTAAAATTAAATAAAAACAGTACCTAATAAAAATTGATTGCAGATTATACAATAAATAATCCAAAATTCTCATTTAAAGAATTCGAAGAGGATCCTGTTGGGGGCACTTTCAACTTGCTAGATTCTTGAATCTTGTTACTTGGCGTCTTGGTCCATGAATACCTGGCGAATCACCACAATTGGACACGTGGCCTGATATATTGCTTTGGGTCAAGCCCAACAAGGGTTCTTAAATGAGGTCTAGCAGCCCAATGTTTCCACTCTAATATAACTCAACCCCAATTAATTCGGCCCTCAACCCGTAGGTGTCTTTTCTCTAGCGCACATCAGGTTTGTCATTTAGTATTACGGTCTAGTTGTATTCTTCTTCATTTATAAGTGAGAAGTTTTATGTTCGATTTTCGCCAAAGACGAATTTAAATGACATTATTGCTAGCCTATTGTGAGGCTTAGCCCACCTCATCCCTCTTAGTGTAGATGATATTTTTTTTTTTTTAAATTACACTACGAAGCAGCCACTTTGTACTACGGTCTAATGATATTCTTCTTCACTTGTAAGTGAGAGGTCTTAGGTTCGATTCTCTTTAAAGGCAAATTTGAACCACATTCTTGTTATCTCATTTTGAGGTTTAGCCCACTCCTCAACCCATTAGTGTAGATAATATCGTTTGTTAAGTTAAATGTGCAAGCTTGATGCAAACATGACCGATCTTTCTACAGAACAAAAATTGTTAGACCCATCTTTCTAAGTTTCTAGTGTTTTTTTGTTTCGTTGTGTAAGTTAAATGTGCAAACTTGATGCGTACATGAGAGTTCTTGGTTGTGCTAAGAATTAATATAGATGAAATTTTTTTGATTTAGTTCAGTTTAGACTTTAAATACCCTTAACTGAATAAAATCATTGTTTATAGTATTAAAATGTGATACAAATATATGATAAGCCTTACCATTACTCAAATGAGTAAACGGAATAGCCAACGCATTAGCTTAAAAGCCACAAATCAACATTGAAACCCATCTAACTATTGTTGAATTTCATATGATTTGGGAGAAATGCGATATCATCCTATATGATATCATCAACCATATGATGACCTACAAGCCTTGCCACTTGTGAAAAACCGAATGGATGAATCATATATAGGTAGCTTAATCATTACTTTTTGTGTGTCGTCTACGACTCGTGTTTCCAATCTCACACGATTTTTGAGTAATTTAGTTTCTGCAATAAGAAAAAACAAAGGAAACAGAAAGTGAAAGGAATGGGGGGTTTTCAACATGTAAATTCAGGCATGTTAATTTATATGGTTGTTAACTAACATCTTGAAGCTATATGCATGTGATTCAATATTTCTAGTGGATAGGATGTTTGGTTTCTATCTATGTGTCCTAATTCGAGACTATGAGTTCGAAACTCTCGCTTCTTTTAATTATTATAATAGTTTTGAACTCTTACTTTTCCCTTGATAATAATAAGGGCGTTTTGACATAGGCGCCTCGTTTTTCAATTTCGTTGTTTAAACATACGTTCCTTATTGTTTGTACCATACTTGACCAATCCCGAAACTACTGAGCACTGATCAACGTATACCGTCAAGGACCCATAAGAGTTTCCCTCCAACCATGAGGCCAATCACAGCGTGACACTTGTCGACATCAGAAGCCAATCATAGTGCGACACGTGTCAACATCAGAACCCAATCACAACACGACACGTGTCAATGTCAAAACAAAGCTAGAAAGTCTCTTCTATAAAAGAAGATCATTCTCCCACAATATTTCCGAATGTCATTTGTACTAAATCATTCACTAGTACTCACTAAAGGAGAGCTTGAACCTATGTACTTGTGTAAACCCTTCACAATTAATGAGAACTCCTCTACTCCGTGGACGTAGCCAATCTGGGTGAACCACGTATATCTTATGTTGGCTTCTTTTCCGTTTACATACTTATCCACACTAGTGACCGAAGCAATCTAGCGAAGGTCACAAACTTAACACTTTCTGTTGTACCAAAGTCTTCACTGATTTTGTGCATCAACATTTGGCGCCGTCTGGGGGAACGACACTTATTCCCACTCTCTTCAGCTTTGTTAAGCTGGTTTCCACCATTCGTACACTCTCTTTTGACCAGGCATCCCTTTCCAACATGGGGAGCGAAGGAAGCCACAGCACACAGAATGACACCTCTCTTGCATCTGGTGCGAAGCAACAAAAGAAGTTTGCTCTTCAGGCTAAAGTCGATGAGCTAGAGGCTCAGAACAACAAGATAGCGATGAAGAATGAGATCCTCCAAGAGCAGTATGAGAAAGTCTTTGAGATGTTCCACGAGGCTAGATATACTAAAACACACGAGCTCATCAACCCAGCTGCTTCGATCCGAAGCAGGAGGAGTGTAGAAAGGCACCTCCTTATAGAAGGAGTGGAAGGATCGAAAGCTGTCTTTCGCGATTGTAAAGACTTCCTAAAGCAACGTCGAGACAATCTCATCCATGTAAGCTCGAAGATCAATGACCCAATGGTCTCTGAAAGACTCGGTCCTTTCCCATGTCCCATGCCGGCTACCAATTTGGGGAAGGGGCAACAAGTCCTAGAGAAACACGAAGGTATAAGGGACTCAGAGATGTTCCGACAGACATACCTTGGAAGTCAGTACGGCGAGTCCAGGGACAAATCCCATGCTCTTGATCAAACCTTCCTACTTCCAAGAGGAGATGGAGATTTACGAAAGAAAGCTCCAGTGGTACATGACTCAACTCAAGACCCTCTTGTCCTACAGCTCCTTAAGGAAGTAAACAAGTTGAAGGCCGAACGACAAGCTAAGATACCTTATTGGAACCAACCTAGGCCTGGCCCTCTTACAAGGAAGATCCTCGACACCCCCATCTAAGCAAAGACAAAGCAAAAGTTTGGCTTACAACTCTATACTGGAAAGAATGACTCGATTGAACACCTTAACCTTTTTGAGTCCACCATGGCATACCAAATGCACACCAACGAAGAACGATGTTTTCTCTTCCCCTCCACCTTCTCTAGAAGAGCTCTAAACTGGTATTGCCGTCTTCCACCTGAGACGGTAGACTCATTTGAGGAATTAAGAAAACTGTTTGTTTCTCAACACATTTTTCAGACCGATCGCTTGCATTCTGCGAATGACTTGTACACTATTCACCAGAAGCCAGATGAGTCATTACGTATGTATGCTGGCCGCTTCAGCCATGAGTATTCTCGTTGTGCCGAGGCAGACGACAAGACTGCCCTCAAAGCATTCACGGT